AAATAAGTCAAACAAAATTGGTAAAATGTTAACAGCTACCAAAGGTAGGAAGTAAGTATATTATTCTCTCATAACGGCCACAACACAAAGTTAAAAAAAAAAAATTAAATGAATTTGGTGTAAATTCAATCTGTGCCTTATCTTACCAGTGATTTTTTTAGGAGGTAGTTAAGGTCCTCCCCTAAAGAAAAATCTGGTCATTCCGCTTAGCCTAAAGAGGTGCAAAGAGTCTTCATCAGCTTGCATTCTGAATTCAAAATGACAGTGACTGAACCAAGGAACCAGGCATTCTATAGTAAAAACCCAGTGTCAGCTTACTTTTTCCCAGTAAGAGACAGCCTACAAGGTACCTGGGATGTGCAGCACAACCCACAAAGAGCTTATCTGATTACAGTTAATGTCAGATGGTTAAGATCTGTGAGAGCCCAAGGCAGCATGGGCAAGGGCCACACAGATTTCCTAAATCAGATCTTGGTCAATACAGAAGTTGCAAAGTTTCCTACCAACTTGTGTATTGCACAAAGCTACTTTCTTGCCAGTGGTAATGAATCTGTGCTGACTTGTCCCTATAATCACTCAGCCGTAATGTGGAAGTACAGCTCATGACATACAAAACTGAAGGTCCACAGAAAGAGCTAAGCCATGATTTACCTGCATTGGTATCACTGCCCTAACCAAGGGGCTAACCACATGACCCCAAGTGTTTACAAGTCACCCACTGGTTTGATACATACTACTTGTGTTTTTCTCTTTCCTTCAAACACTTCTATTACGGACTGAATATCTGTGTTCCCCCCAAAATAATATGTTGAAGCCATAAGTCCCAAGATGATGGTATTTGGAGGGCCTGTGGGAGGTAGTAAGGGTGAGACTAGGTCATGAGGGTGGTGTCTCCATGATGGAATTAGTGGCCTTATAAGAAAAGGGAGAGAGATCAAAGAGTCAGAACAAAAAAATTCTAAAATTTATATGAAAACACAAAAGACTCCAAACAGTCAAAGCAGTTTTAAGAGAACAAAGCTCCAGGCATCACACACCCTGATTTCAAACAATTTATATCGCAAAGCTGCAGTCATCAAAACAGTATGGGACTGGTACTAAACCAGACACACAGATACCAGTATCTATATCAAAAGAGTATGATACTGGCACAAAATAGAATAGAGAACTCGGAAATAAACCCATGCTTATATGGTGCATTAATCCATGACAAGGGGGAATATACAAAAGGGGAAAGATAGCCTCTTCAGTAAATGGTTTTGGGAAAACTCTAGAAAGCTACAGGCAAAAGAATCAAACTGGACCACTTTCTCACACCATATACAAAAACAAACTCAAAATGGATTAGTGAAAGTGAAGTCGCTCAGTCGTGTCCAACTCTTTGCGACCCTGTGGACTTTAGCCTACCAGGCTCCTCCATCCATGGGATTCTCCTGGCGAGAATACTAGAGTGGGTCTTACAAACCTAAGATCTGAAACCATAAAACCCCTAGAAGAAAACATAGGCAGTACACTCTGCTATCAGTCTTAGCAATACTTTTTTGGATCTGTCTCCTCAGGCAAGGGAAACAAAAGAAAAAAAATAAACAAAAGGGACTACATCAACCTAAAAGGCTTTTTCACAGTGAAAGAATCCATCAACAAAACAAAAGGCAGATTACTGAATAGGAATATGTAAATGATTTGCATATGATATAACCAACAAGGAGTCAATCTAAAATATGCAAAGAATTCATACAACTCAACATTGAAAACAAAAATAACCCAATTAAAAAAAAGGGGCAGAGGACCTGAAGGGACATTTTTCCAAAGAAGACATGCAGATGTCCAACAGGCATATGAAGAGATGCTCAACATCACTAATTATCAGGGAAATGTAATTCAAAAGCACAATGAGATATCACCTCACACTTAGCAGAATGACTATCATCAAAAAGACAACAAACAACAAGTGCTGGTGAGGATACAGAGAAAAGGGAATCCTCCTGTACCACTGGTTAAGGTTATAACTGGCACAGCCACTATGGAAACCAGTATAGAGATCCCTCAAAAAATTAAAAATAGAACTACCATATGATCCAGGAATTTCACAGGTGGATATTTATCCAATATAAACAAAAGCCCTAATTGGAAAAGATATATACACCCCTATGTTCACTGCCATACTATTTACAATAGCTAAGATATGGAAGTAAGTGAAATGTCCACTGATGGGTGAATGGATCAAAAAGATAGGGTATATACATATAATGAAAGATTACTCAGCCATTCAAAAAAATGAATTCTTACCATTGGTGACAACATGGATGGATCTAGAGGGTATTATGCTAAGTGAAATAAGTTAGAAAAAGACATACTGAATGATCTCACTCACATGTGGAATCTAAAAACCAAGACAAAATGAAAGTAGACAAAGATACAGAGAATAAAGTGACGGGGGATGGCACAAAACAGGTGAACAAGGTTAAGAGGTATAAGCCTCTAGTTATAAAATAAATAAGCCATGAGGATGTCATATACAGCATAAGGAAGATGATCAATAATTCTGTAATAACTTCCTATGGGAATTTTCCAATGTATGCAGATACCAACCAGTATGTGGTACACCTGAAACTAACATCATGTTTATGTCAACTGTATTTCAGTTTTAAAAAAGAAAAAAGAGACAGAGATTTCTTTTCCTCCACAGGCACCAAGCAATGGTCATGTCAGGATATAGAGGGAAGGTGGCTGTCTACCGGCCAGGAAGAGAGTTCTCACCAGAAACTAAATATGCTGGCACCTTGATCTGGCACTTCTCAACCTCCAAAACTGTGAGAAAATACGTTTCCATTATGTTAGCCACCAGGTCTATGGTATTTTGTTATGGTAGCCTGAACAAACTAATACATATTTCACCTATTTTTCTTTTTCTTTCAAACCCTTTCCAACTTCTTTGATGGGAAGGTTCCACAAACACAAAGGTGGTTCCAGAGCCAAAGGAGGGAAAACAGTTGAAAATCATGGGTTTCCAATGTTGGAAATCTGACAATCTTCCCCCAATTAAAGAAAAAAAAAACCTGGCCATGCACTTATGTAATGTGTTTGGAATGTCTCAAGGAGAGCTAAGGCAGTATTAGAACCAAAGAAAGTGAAAGTGAAGTCGCTCAGTCCTGTCCAACTCTTTGGGACCGGGTGGACTGTAGCCCACCAGGCTCCTCCGTCCATGGGATTCTCCAAGCAAGAACACTGGAGTGGGTTGCCATTTCCTTCTCCAGGGGATCTTCCCAACCCAGGGATCGAACCCAGGTCTCCCACATTGTAGGCAGACACTGTACCATCTGAGCCACCATGGAAGTCAGAACCAAAGAAGGGATAATAAAGTACACCTTATTTGAAGTAATCACATTCAGAATAATTAATTAGAGTAAATGTGTATTTTGGCAAGGTACACCACAACATCATCCCAGGCAGGGAGAAACACAAGCCTCTACGCAGATGAACACTCCAGATCTATTTACACAGAAACCCTGGGCAATCCTCCTCACAGACTGCCTGGCTGCCCTCATGGTGTCAGTATTCTGTGCAGTGAAAAAGTAACTGTCAAGGATACCAGGAATACAATTTGACCTACTTTCCCCTCGACTCCTGGAAAGTCTCTACCTCTGACTTTTGTGTTTATTTAGCTATCACATTTTTGGGACACAGTTCCTTCCTTTCTTTGCAGGCAACCCTGTACTCCACACGTTAAGGTCATTTGCAGGTAATTCCTAAACTCCCCTGGTCATTTGACCTAAAGATGTCCTATTCCTGCTCAGCTAATCCTCAAAACATCCTTCTGAGATAGGTCATGTACAGTTATCTCTATGTGGGAAGAATTCTCAGGAAAGGAGGAACACAGCCTAGAAAGGCCAAAGACTCAGTCAGTTCAGACCCTTTCCTGCCCAAAGGAAGCCATACCAAACCCAGTGTTTCTCCCTAACTCTCAAGTTTCACAAACCTATCTTTCAAAAGCTGAAAGTCCCCCAGCAAGATCTTTTAAGGCTAAGATTTCTTTTTTAAATTACAGACCAAAAATCTACCTTGTGGTACCTTCTCGGTAAAGTCTCCTTAATGATGCCAGATTTTTAAAAGCTAAGTAAACCCCCCCAAAGATGCCCAAAGCCCTGGTGAGCAGGGACACGAGACAAGTCAGCAGGGGCTACTGAGTGACTTATTAGAGATTCCAGGCCGTCCCACTTTTCTTCACCACAAAACATGTCTGACCTGCTCGGGCCATTAGATGTACTTAGAACCCAACGAGGGACACTCCTCCGCCAGAAATCCTGCCAAACACACCAGCAGGAAGTGAATATTTAAGATTCTGGGGGCGTCGCTGAGAACTAACTGCTGGCGACTGGGGAGCCCAGGAGCTAGAGGTAGCCCTAGAACTTTCAACTCTGGCGTCTGTCCTTCGGCCCTGGCGGCGGCAAGAGCCAGTGTTGGTGCCAAAGTTTAGTTCTCATCGACGCCCCCAGAATCTTAAATATTCACTTCCTGCTGGTGTGTTCCCTAGGATCCTGGTGGAGGAGTGGCCTTCCTTGGGTTCTAAGCCAGTGTCGATGCCCAAAATTGCAACTAGGCGTCCAACAGCAGTACACACCTCTCAAGCCTCCTGCAAACTGAGGTCCCGCGCGTGGGGCCTTGGGCTCGCTGTCGGACAGGGCCCGCCAATAGGCACCGAAAATCTGCAGCTCCCCCTCTGGGGGCAGGCAAACGGCCCTTCTTTGGGAGATGTTCACGGTCGCGCAGCGAGAATCCAGGCGCGCTTGGACTGTCAGGTGCATCTAGGGGAGAGGGAAACCACCGCTCCGCGGGGGGCACCCCACGACCCCGCCTTCCCGGGCCCCTCTTCTGCCTAGGCCGGCACAAAGGCTCCACCGCCGGCACCTCCCCAACTTCCAGATGCCCTCCTCGATCGCCCCGGAGGGTGGGCGCGGGCTCCCACGCCCACACCAGCGGCGCAGGACCCAGCCGCTCACCTGGCCCCCAGCCGCGCCGCGCTTCCTCCGCAGGATGAGCCCGCTCCGCAGCAGAGCTGGCAGGTCCCGCAGCCGCGGCTCGCGCGGGCTGGGGCTGCGGCGCAGGGCGCCGTCCGCCACCATCACGGCCGCCACCCGGGCCAGGGCCGGGCTCTCCCACGGCGGCTGCATTTTGACGGAGCCCACGGCCGTCAGGCCCTGACGGCGGCTGTGGCGCCGGCGGCTGTTCCCCGCGCTCGCCTCTGCGCGCCTTCGCCAGGCAGCAAGAGGGTGCTACGGCGGCTCGGGTGCCTGGCGAGCTGCCAGTCTCCGTCCATTGGCGCGCAGCGCCCGCCAGGCTCAGGCCCGCGCACCTCCCCCGCCCAGCCCAGGTGCGCCCCGCCTCGCCCCGCCCCGCCCGCCCCTTTACGCTCGGCCCGCCCCACCCCGCGACGCACGGCCCCGGCCCCACCCCCACCCCAGTACGATCCCGCCCCACCCCTCCTCCGCCTGTGGACCCGGCCCTGCCCCGCAACCCACACTTCCCCCTCTCCGCCCACGTGCCTGGGCCCACCCCGGCTCGCCCCACCCCGCCATAGCTCCGCCCCCGCCCCGCCCCGCCCCGCCCTCGCCGAAGCACACCTCAACCTGCGGACCTGGCCCCCACAGCCACTTCCGGAGCTTTAAGCACCTTCTCTTCCACAGATGTGGGATTTCCAGATTCCACCACCAAACCCACTCGACGGCACGGCCCATCCCCCTACTCCCTTTAGGCTGAAAGGCCCCGCTTCACCCCCTTTTCCTGTATGCCGGCCTCGACCTGAACTTTGACCAAGTGAGCTACAAAGTGGGGAACACCACCACACTGCCCTGGCGCACAAGGTGTTTTTTTTTTTTTTTTTCCCATTCACAACCTAGCCCCAAATCGTTATCACTCTTCCCAGAAACGATTTTCGCCAAAGAACTTCAAACTAGGTTCTGTATTCTGCTACAAGTCAAACATCACTGAACTAGAACTGCCGCCACGCTGTCCTCTCTTTGGCACATTCATCATTAAAGTCTAAAACTTTTGTTCATTATGATAGGTGCTGGGCAAAACAGATGCAAATCTGGTGACCTGGAAGTGATTCTCTGTGGACAAGTTGGAACCTGACTTTCCTTGAAAGCCTGATGCATGTGATGAATGTGCTTGGTAAAGTGTAAAGGCCTACTGTGGTGTGAATCATTGTTAACACCATTCCAGGAGTCAGGAATAGTGGAGCCCTGGCAGTGAGACTCTTCCAACAGGGCCTTAACCTTCACCTCCCAGATCAATCTGTCTTCAGGAAGGGGCAGCCACTGCTTTTACTCCTTATCAGTAGGACACAGTACCCCTGTCTTGACTGGCAAGAACTGAGTAAGCTTACTCACATTATAAAAAATTAAGTTGACAACCAAGGATTACAGGGGATCAGGGCCCTTTGTTGGTTTGCCACTGTACCCTCAGCCCTCATATGGCAGACGTTTGGCAAATATATATGGAAATATGGCCATGCAAGGGAAAAAGGAAGAATGACCTGTGACCTCTGCGTTCAAGGATCCTGAGACTTGTGGTTGTTGTTCAGTCGCTAAGTCATGCCTGACTCTGTGACCCCATGGACAGCAGCCCACCAGGGTTCCCTGTCCTTCACTATCTCCCAGAATTTGCTCAAACTTAAGACTTGACCCAGGACTAGATACACGTATAAAAAACAAAGATACTGTGTTGTAGTCTTGATAATTGCCAAGTGAGTGTGAATAATGAGCACTGCAGCTAACAGGAGCAGGGAAATGCATCTGGCCTGCCATGGGCAAAGAAAAGTCAATGAAGGGAGTTTGAGCTTTGCCCTTGAGCTGAGTGCAGAAGATTCAAACAGGTAGAAAAGAGGATTCAGGTCCCCCCAAATAAGAAGGAAAAATGTGAGAAAAATGCCAGGGTGGTAGGACACAGAACCTATTGGGCCCTGAACATGTCCTATTGGTGGGAGAGGGGGATCCTGCAATGGAGGAGGAGGAGAAAATATCAGAATAGATGCTGGTGACATATTGGACACCTTACATCCTGTCACTGAAAGCTGTGTGTGTTTACTGGAAAGGCCCCTGCAATTAACTCTATCAGACATTACAGTTTCCAAATACCTATTACATGTATTTATTCAAGGCTGAAATTCCACTTGTATGGACCATATAAGAGTGTACCAGCTTATATAATGTTCAAATACTTCTGCTCCAATGTCATGGGCTTCCCTCGTAGCTCAGTCGGTAAAGAATCTGCCTGCAATGCCAGAGACCCGGGTCCAATTCCTGGGTCAGGAAGATCCCCTGGAGAAGGAAATGGCAACCCACTCCAATATACTTCCCTGAAGAATCCCATGGACAAAGGAGCCTGGCAGGCTACAGTCCATGGGGTCACAAGAGTTGGACATGACTTAGCAACTAAAAAAAACCAAAAAAACAACAAAAACCCCCCCAAAAAAACCCAATGTCATACTCCATACTCCAGATTTCCTCCTGAAATACCAACTAACAGTCCACTAGACCTTTGGTCCTGGTCTATTAAAGGCACTCCAGGACACTTGTGACCAACAGTATCTGTGATGAGTAGGTGCTTGTGCCTTGTCATCCCTGAGAACATTCTTTGAATCACACCAGAACCTACTCTGCTCTAAAACAGAACACACATGTTCTGACTCCTGATCCAGATCCTTGGACTTCATGCTCTTTCACAGTTTCTCAATGCAAGACCAGGGAGTTTGGGACTTGACCCCATAGATTCTATGGCATTGACCAAAGGTCTAAAACTTAATATCAACAAAGGCCTTTGGAAAGTTGGCTTGGGGTAAGGTGCTAAATGACAACTGCCATGTAGCTATGGTATAAGACAGACAGTAGGGCATAGCAGGAATGTGTGAGCAGAAGAGCAGTGCCACTCTCTAGCTCATATCAAGCAATGTCCCATCCACCCCAGGACCTTTGCACTTGCTGTCCCCTCGGCATGGAATACCCCACCTCTGAAATGCTGTCTAGTACAACTCTGTAATGGTGGCAATGTCCCATATCTGCTTTGTAGCAACTAGTCATGGGTGACTTTTGAGCACTGGAAATGTGGCTACTGTGCATGAAAACCTAAATTTTAAATTTTATTTAATTTTAATGAATACAAATTAAGATAGCCACATATGGCTGTGGGCTACTCTGCTAGAAAGCAAAGTTCTAGAATTCCATGTTACCCTTCCTCTACACCTTAAGTTTTTTAACTGAAATGTCTCCATTTCAGTGAGGTCATCCATGACCATGTGATTTGAAATTGTACCCCTTCCCATCTGCCCTCTTCCCTGTCTCCTTTCTAGCCCTCTAATGTTGCCATCCATCAGTCTATCTATGTTATTTATCCATTTTCCCTTTTGTCCATTAAATCCCACAAGAGCCTGAACATCTTTTCCCTTTTGTTCCGTGTCTACAACGTATTAGTCAAAGAATCCAATTTTTCGACATATGAGGACCTAGTTTTTCAAAAGGAGCTTATTCTGAATCTCCTCATTTTGCAATGTTGAAAGTTAAAAAAAAAGCAAGTCCTATATATGCTAACTTTGCACAGGTCAAAAAAAAAAACCCCTGGGGATATTAGATCTGATTTTTACTTAGGAGAATGACATCATTAAAGCTAAAGTTCATGTAAACATCAATGTTAAGAAAGTTTCTTTGGCTGATAAGGGTGGGTGCCCTTCCTTGTAAGTTTGTCTTCTATTCTTTACACTCATAATCTTGAAACAAAATCTGTCTGTTCATGCCTTTTCATATGCCATTGACTGTTACCATGCTGGAAATTTCCTTTTTAGGTCAGGTGTGCATGATTACCAGGCCCTTGAGTATGTAGGACACTGGTTAAAAACATTCTTTGTGTTCAAATGCCCAAGAAGACACACGGATAAGGCAATAGGAGACCTAACTTGACCAACAGACAGAAAGCTGAGCCAGTCTTTTCCCATTTCCCCCTTCTGCTTATGGAAATCTACTTGTCTTTGTACAGATTCAATAGTACCCCTCCTGGAGGTCTTGTATGTTCTGCCCATTGGAATTAATTCTTCCACAGGTAAACTTCAGAGTTTACCTACAACTATGAATCTACTTTCACCACCTCTCTTATCACAGTTAGTCTTGTATTTGAACTGTGTGTGTGCTAAGTGGCTTCAGCCGTATCCAGCTCTTTGCAACCCCATGGACTGTAGCCCACCAGGTTTCTCTGTCCTTGTGATTCTCTAGGCAAGGACACTGGAGTGGGTTGCCATGCCCTTCTCCAGGGGATCGTCCCAACCCAGGGATTGAACCCGTGCCTCTTAAGTCTCCTGCACTGGCATGCAGGTACTTTACCACTAGAGCCACTTGTGCATATAAGAATTAGATGAGGTTATAAAACCTTGGAGAGCAGAGATGACTTATTTTTGTATTCCCCTCTACTGTTCTTTGCAGTGCCTAGCACATCATAGATGCTATGTTACAAAATGCATACATGAATGAATGCTGGATGGATGAACAAATGAATGAACAAAACTGTGATTAGCCAAACACTGTCATCCTAGGTTGAGGAAAGTCAGTCATAGGTCTTAGCTGATGGAGAGTCTCGAAGGTCTCAGGAAAATACATTAACCCAAGAGTGTTGGAGATAATACTCCAGATGGTGGCATGTTCAGATCAGCACGGAAGAAAGATGATTTTAGCATCAGTATGTCGAGTGCTTTAAAATAGGGAGACCCTGAAAACTGGGGAGCCAGCAAAGCAGGTTACAGAATCCCAGGCATGAAGTATTAGCATGATAATCCATAAAATTGGGTTAACGGAAACTTCTGTTTTCCTTATACTATTCAGATCTGTGCATTCTGTGCATAGATGGTGTATTAAAACACAGAGACATCACTTTGCTGACAAAGGTCCGTCTAGTCAAAGCTATGGTTTTTTCAGTAGTTGTGTATGAATGTGAGAGTTGGACGATAAAGAAGGCTGAGCACTGAAGAACTGATTCTTTTAAACTGTGGTGTTAAAGAAGACTCATGAGAGTCGCTTGGACTGCAAGGAGATCAGACCAGGCAATCCTAAGGGAAATCAACCCTGAATATTCATTAGAAGGACTGATGCTGAAGCTGAATTCCAATACTTTGGCCACCTGATGTGAAGAG